GCTAAGCTCCTCTTGTAAATTAGCATTAGCTAGTTTTAAACTTGATACACATATGTGTTTTTTACTACAAGACATTATGTCTCAATTTGAGATATACTGTAGATATGACACCATATGTCAGTTGCCCTGCTTTTATTGACTTGTTAGCTGACTCTTCTTTCTTTCTTTTACTTAGTTAATCCATTAGCTACATGCAACACTAGGCATGTTATATTTGAGCAACAGTGACAAGTCTGAAGCTGTATAGTGTTGTAAAACTTATACTGTGGATCCTGCTAATTCTCCTCTGAGTTCTTTAGGTTTAAGCAGAGTGATTAGCTTTAGCGCATTAGTGTTAGTGCCATGGCTAATGCCTGACTCTTACCTAACACATCACCAGAACATGAGCTTTACCCTAAACCCTAGAACCTGTGCCAACAATGCAACAAGCACACACACCCAAACACTCACACAGCCAGTATGTGACCTTTTTGAAATTTTGTAATGGCCAAGAGAGAAAAATATAAAGAGTTCATTTGCAAAAACAGGAAACTCCATTTTTATTTATTTTCATGAATCCTTTGGGGTTTTTTTTGTGTGTGTGCATTCCAAGTAATATCAATCAAACTGCAGATGGGTTGTTTTGAGTAAGTAATAATAACTCAAACAAATAAATTAAAGTTAATTGAAAGTTTTTTATATATAATAAAGTTTTTTTTTTAGCAAAAGCAGATAACTCCAACATTTGTTTTTTGGCAAATGTTTCAGAGTTAAACAAAAACACTCGTTTAATCTTTGTAATCTCCTCAGCTGACAATGTAGACACGTCAACAAACAGCTTAGATGGCTACAGAAAATGAACAAGGACATTTAAAACATAAATTTGCAGTGACTGAATGATATGAGAAAGACAAATAACATATGAAGTGTTCATTTGCAAAAACCGATAAACACCACCTTTAAAAAAAAAAAAAAGAACTGACCGCTGTGCATTATTATCCATATATAGTGCGATCCAGTGAAGCTGAAGACATCACTCATACAAACCTAGTATTACTTGGCATAGTAAATACCCAATTTCAATGGCTTGAATTCAGCCTTCTTTTCTTTGTTGACATATTTCCTTTTGAAACAGGAAGCTGACTTTACAACTGCAACTTTATTTTTCATAATGTAAGTTTGTAGGTCAGTATGATTTTTTTATTAGATATTTTTATTTAGCAAGGTTGCATTACATTTATGAAAAGTGACAGTAAAGGCTTGTACATTTTTACAAAAGATTTCAATTTTGAATAAATGCTGTTTTTTAAAACTTTGAATTCATCAAATAATTCTGAGAAGAAAGTAGCATGGTTTTCACAAAAATATTAAGCAGCTCAACTGTTTTCAATATTTATAATAATAAGAAATGTTTTTGAGCAGCATATTAGACTGATTTATGAAGGATCATGTAACACTGAAGAGTGGAGTAGAATGGCTGCTGAAAATTCAGCTTTACCATCACAGGAATAAATTACATTTGAAATACATTAATGTTTCACAATATTACAGTTTTTGCGCCATTTTTGATTATGTAAATGCAGCCTTGGTGAGACTTTTTTTTTTTTTAACTTTTACTAACATTTGAACTTTTCAGCAATATGTTTTAAACTTTAAATCTTACAATTAACTTTTTATTTTTTTACTCTGCGGCAGAAACGGCAAAAAAAGAGATAGATGTATTTATGTAAAAGTTCGTTTTAAACTTTTAGGAGTACAGTATCATATAGTAGATGTCCAAGCTAACAGAAAGGACAAATGTCACAACACTTCAATTTTGATTTCTTGGAGTCTTTAAAAGTATAATATCCTTGTCAGAGGATCACATTGGAAAACACTGTAGTACATGACTAGTTTAGAACATAAAGAAAACTATTGCTTCAATTAAGCAGTTAGAGAAGTTAGAGAATTACCAGTGTAATAGGGTTTGGAAGAAGCAACAAATTGTATATGTCAGTTTTTCAAAATCTAAGCGCTGTCTTTGTGAAAGACATTTTAGTAACAGGTACTATAAATGAAAGTTCAGCACTTAAGGCCACCGTGTGTTCTCGCTATCACTGTGTTTTTGAGAGAATGAGTCATAGCTTGCACGTTGCTTAAATGTTGAGGGTGAGAGGTGTGGGCTGGAGATTGTGTGGTGCAAACTCATGCAGGATTGTCCGTCACATACTGAGACATTTCCGAGGCACTGTGATATCTGCTGAGTCACTAAAATCATTACGCAGGCTAGAATGGAATATTATAAGTAATAATAGTCTGTACAATAACAGATAAAAACTCTACAGAGACCTTTTCTGCTTACACATTTTTTAATATCTGGGACATGTTTATCACTTTATTAGCATTTTTGCCTCAAGCCTGGATAATTTCTGACCCTGGTCTCTGCACATTAAACAAGTGAAAGGGATTTTATTTTTTTACATTTCATGCTGCATTTTAATGTACAAAATGACACTTCACAATTAGGGAAAGATTAAGATCCTCCAGTTTTTACAGTAATTATCACTGTATGGTTTCTTCTTGTTTTGTAGACACCTATAGTGAAAGTCATTTTCAAAACAAACAAGTGGATTAAAATGAACTGAAATGAGACTAATATTGAAAACAAAATTATAAAACAAAATAATACACACTTAACTCGCTCTTCCATCCATCTCCTAACCTCTCTCCTCCTCTCCATCTGTTCATTCACCCAGCATGATCAGAATCAGTGAAGCTATGCAAAACATTAAGCTACCTCTAGGTATAATATTACATTGTTTTTAACAACTTGATAATTAAATCAACCTTTATTAAGCAAACTTTTAAAGTGATATCTATAGTCTTTTTAATAAACAGTAAATATCTGTGTTTTAAAGGTGTATTATGTGCCACCACATGGAACCAAAAGTATAATGATTGAAACCAAAACCAGGTTTGGAATGTATCTTACCCTGTCATATTAGATTATACATAGAAATATGTGTTATCTTGATATAATCACTGTTTCTGGTTTTGCAGTTGTAATTGTTCGTAAGGGCTGACTTTAGTTGTTTTTTTCTAAAAAAAATACACTTTTTAGCTTAACATTCAACAACAATCGCTCTTTGAATCAGTGAAATTGACCGCTACGAGGCACTGTGATATCTGCTGAGTCACTAAAATCATTACGCAGGCTAGAATGGAATATTATAAGTAATAATATTCTGTACAATAACAGATAAAAACTCTACAGAGACCTTTTCTGCTTACACATTTTTTAATATCTGGGACATGTTTATCACTTTATTAGCATTTTTGCCTCAAGCCTGGATAATTTCTGACCCTGGTCTCTGCACATTAAACAAGTGAAAGGGATTTTATTTTTTTACATTTCATGCTGCATTTTAATGTACAAAATGACACTTCACAATTAGGGAAAGATTAAGATCCTCCAGTTTTTACAGTAATTATCACTGTATGGTTTCTTCTTGTTTTGTAGACTGATGCAGGGAGATACTCAGGTGTCACCACCAATGCTCATTTTCTGATCCCTGTTGTGTGAGTGTGTGTGTTTGTGCTTCTCAAGCCCTTTTGTGACACCATTGCCGTCGACCTTCAGATAAACATTGAACTGGAAAACTGTCATCCGCCACAAATAGCCGCAGTAATAGAGAGAAGGACAGAGAGACAAAAAGGGGTGGCCAATGTGATGAGATGGACATAGAGACAAGGAGAATTGGTGTGGAGGGGGTGTGGTGGTGCCGTCACTAACTGCTGATGAGAGCTGTCACTGCCACACATCAATAAAGCCCTCTTGAGGACACTTTAAAAAATATTTCAACCTGAATCACACACACATACGTATTCTCTTTTTAGCATCTGAATTTCACAAACAACGCATGCACACAGTCGAATTCACCTCAAGGTCACTTGATGTAAGAAGCTTTGTGAGGCACAGCATGCCGTTACAGATCAGGTCAAACTGCTGCTCTGGTGTGCAGCTCTCATCTAGGATGCTGTATTTATTTAACAATATAATACAGCTGCAACAAAACAGTACAGTGATGATGTATAATCTTATTAGTAGAAACATAAAAGATGGCTTATGAAAACATGCAAACAAATAAAAATATGAAAAAAATAATCCATGAGTACTTTAGAGGAAAATGTAAATAAAAAGACAACAGTTAAATTTGATATTAACCGAGTTTAACAAAAAAACTCCCTTTACATGGTCATGGAAAAATATGAGATGGGAGGAAAAATTATATTTTATTGCTTTTGTGTTCCTTCTCAATAGTTTTACATTTTCCATGAAATCATTGCGTTCTTTTTGCAAAACATTTTCTTTCCGAAAAATATTCCATTCCCAGTGCATTCGTTTCCATTTTTGTTTCCAGTTGTTCTCCAGTTTTGTGAGTGAATGCAAAAGTTTTGCTAGTGAACGCAAATGTGAAGCACATGAATGCAAAAGTATTGCATGTGAACATAAAATGTTTGCAAGAGAACACTAATCGCTTGCAAGAGAATGCAAAACACTTTGCAAGCGAATGCTATTTTTTCAGTGTAACGCAACAGTTTTTTGAATGAACGAAAGAGCATTTATATTGATGTTTGCTACCATCTAAATTTTTCCCATCACCATGTCACTTTATGGGCTCCATAGTATCATATTAGAAAAGGGTGTAAAGGGTGTATAGGTTTTTCTTTTTTCCTTTTTGGCTAGATTTGAGTCAGAATAACAACACTAATTTTTTGAATAATCATTGTCGCACTATGTTAAAATGCTAAAATTCCTGCTCATGTTCCTCTCCTCTCATGCAGATAAATCAGATTTAATCTTCCCCTTTATGGGCTCCATAGTATCATATTAGAAAAGGGTGTAAAGGGTGTATAGGTTTTTCTTTTTTTCTTTTTGGCTAGATTTGAGTCAGAATAACAACACTAATTTTTAGTATAATCATTGTCGCACTATGTTAAAATGCTAAAATTCCTGCTCATGTTCCTCTCCTCTCATGCAGATAAATCAGATTTAATCTTCCAGAAGAAGTCCACTGATGACAGGGATGACCTGTACACCTCCCTCTTGTCCAATCAAAGCTATGCCTCACATGAAGATACCTCCTACTTTTCTGGCAGCATGGGCAGATCTGGTGACAAAAATGCATCCAGCACAGAAGACTTCACCTCTGGATCCCATTTCCAGTTGACCTCGGACTCCAGCATCAAGAACCCCAGTGCAGAACCAACTGACAGCTCTCACAAGATACAAGCGTTTGACTCTTCTTACAACTATATGGACATAAGTCGTAAAGAGGACTCCTGTAGTTCACAGCGCCCCCTTGAGGACTGGAGGATGAGCGGCCTCTCAGAGCCCACCCAGTACACTAAACTGGAGAAGAGCCCATCACCGGTAGAAGTGGATGTGGAAGACATTGGCTCTGCTGCAATTCTGGACTCTCAGACCTTCCCATATGTGGAGGAACCATCTGATGAAGAGCTGTCTGACTACCTGCCCTATCGGTCTCCAGGTACCAGCAGCAGTGCCAGCCCAGTAAAAATCACCCTGACAGAAATGCCACCTACATCTGTATCGCCCACCACAGTCCAGCACAGCCCCACAGTTACAGTGTCAGAGAAGGAGAGCATTCTGAGTCTGGGGCTGGAGGGAGTGCCAACCGTCACTCTCTCAGAGCCTGAGGATGAAAGCCCTGAGTCATCTACACCCCCTACAGGTGGGCATCACCATCCCACACAAGCACTTCACTGTAATGTATCCACTAAACCACCTTTAATTCCTCTGCTAGCTGACCCTTTGCTTCTGTGTAGGTGTATTTGACAATCTGGAAACTTTCATACGTTTAAATGTATTCATTTGATTTGCTTTTATCTAAAGAGAATGAAAAATGAGCAGTTCTATGACATAATTTTAATAATTTTTTCACCAAATCTGGTGGAAAAAGCAGCAAAACCAGTTCCAAACATTTTGGAAAAGTTCAAGTTAGGACAGAAAAAGGGTGAGGCCCAATGAAAAATCAGGGTAGTTAATGTTGGCAGAGTACAGTTCAAAAGTTCACCACGATAAGACAAAACATAATTAAGCTACTGAGGTAGCAAAAATGAGCATTCACAAACATTTTCAAAATCAATAAATTGGTGATTCTTCAGCTTCAGGCGCTTCTTTATGCCCTAGGGATTGAGGAGTTTCAAACAAATGGAATTCAGCCTTTTTTCCTTTTTATTACATGAAGCTGACATTATGCCTTCATCGTTTATTTTGCAACTTTTCAAATTATTTTTAGGTTTAGATTTTATTGTTTTAGCTTTATCCCAGGCCCAAAGTCTGCTGGAATGGTAAATGTGATTTCACCAAGTACAATATATTCCTGGAACAACATCCCAGGCAACCAATCCATTTCGAGGAATAAGTTTACAGGAAATGTCAGTTTTAGGCTTACAACAAGGGTTATTCAGCTATAATTTCTCTTTGATTTTAGGGATAAATTATGGGTAGGGTTAGGTTTAGGGGTAGAAATAGGGTTAGGTCTATATTTTTGGACAGTAATGTTGTCCCAGGATCAACAAAAGATGGTGATCCAGGAACTTGTCTGACTTGGCAAGTTGATCTTCTAGAATCCACCAGGTCAAAAGTGCCCATAGTTGAGGAAACACCCAATATTTAAGAGCAGTGGCTCATTGACTATTATTGGCTGTATGTTACACAGTAATATAATAACACACACATGCTTACACTGTGGGATGCCTTGGCAAACCAGATGGCCACAAGACACCTTACCTTACTCCCTGTCCTTTATCTCTTCTTCTCTTTCTTAATAGAAGAGTCTGATTCACCTTTGGATCCAAACATCCAGGCTGATGAAACTAAAATAATGAGTTCCACCCAAGACAAGACTCAAACATCTCCCATCTCACCCTCTCCACCTACTTCCAAGCAGGTGAGTTCCCCAATAGAGATGAAGTCTTCCCCCCCAAAACCCACCTTGCCTCCTTCCCCCCAGGATGTCGAGGGTAGCAGTGCCGAATCTGGAGACTCTGAGATTGAGCTGGTGTCTGAAGAGCCTAGTCCGCGAGCTCCCACCACTGGCTACATGAGCTTCAGTAAGAGTCCCAGCACCACTTCATCAACCACAGTACCTTCCACAGTGCCCGCCCCATCTTCTACCCTTGCGTTTGCCCCGAGTCCTGCCATGCAGTACAGCATCTTGAGGGAGGAACGTGAAGCAGAGCTGGACAGTGAACTGGCTCTGGAGTCCTGTGGAGAGGAAAGTCCCAAAAGATTGACCCACGACTCCAGAAAGGGTTTCAAGGAGACCCCACAGCCAGTAAAAAAACTGGGCATGCAAAGGCTAGCTTACATGTAATATTTTCCTAATATTATATAAAGGCAGGATAATTGGTAATGTGGAATTTAATACAATTTATCTTAGATATCAGTGCGTTTGCAAGCACTTTGAAAGTAACAGACCTAGATATAGTGATTGTTCAGAATTTATACAAATTAATCAAAGCTGTTATGCACTTGCACTAAAAGAAGGTGATGAGGCTCAGATTTCATAGAGCCATTTCCTGCTTAACTGTTCACTGCACATGTGTCATTGCTTTTCTTTATCATCCAACAGAAGTGGTCCAAAGAAATACAACACAATGTTAGATGACATTTCTAATCATCCCCAGAGCTCAAGAAGGTCATGCACATGAAATATCAATTTTACAAGACACATTTCTCACACAGCCCCCTGAGCCTTTAGATGGGTGGCTAATGTTTTAAATTTTTTTTCACACCTGACTGCTCCCTGCATCTGTTGTTTGTGTCTTCAGGATTCAGCAGAGCTCAGTGGAAATATCATGTTTGAAACCGTGAAAAATTATTATGGAAGATCTGGCTGACCTACAGCAGTTTGTGCTTTATAAAACCATATGGTTTATGGAAAACATTTTCATTCCTTCAGTGATGGGAACACATCCCAGTAATGAGTAAGGGATATAAATAATGAAAAATGGATGGCTGTGTTGCTCTGTTTATATGATCCTAATCACGATTTAAAAAAATAAATAAATAAAAATATTTATTGCTTTAACAATTAGTTTTATTAAAAAAAAGATAGTGAGAAAAAAGTGAAATATATATATATATATATATATTAAACAATTAAATCTTTTTTTAATCAGATACATTTTAATATTTTTTCAATTATAGTTTTGACTAAATAAATAATTATCGACTTCATTGTGTATTAGTAGATGAGTACGTCATTTGTTTGTGTCTGTTGAAGGCAGTCACCATCTTTTATTAATGCTCTGGCTTGGGGCTGGACTGTTGTTTGAAGATTTCAGAACAAAGCATCCCCCTGTGGTTCAGGTCAGTTTCTATCTGCTACATGTGTGACCAGCGAGTGCTGCCGTCTTGTGATTATATAGCCACACCGCAACATGGGAGGAGGAAAAACTGCACAAATCATATAGTGAGATAAAAAGGCATGGATTTAATTTCATTTGGGGTTCATAATTCCATTCTTGACAGATGAACATTTAAGTATATCTTGGCAAGTGGCTGGGATCCTGTCGTTCAATACTAATGCAACTGGAAAAAGCAGTTTTCAAGTCATGTTTGTCTTATAATCAATTAATTTTCTAATACAATCAATGTTTTATATGATGCTTGTCAGTCAATATATTCATCTTTACAGCACTTTGAACCATGGATACATGTTTGTAAAAAGAGATCAGTTTTACTGTTGTGTGTGTGTGTGTGTGTGTGTGTGTGTATGTGTGTCTGTGGCGTTTTGCAGATTAGGTATGGTGCCACAGTCTGGCTGCACCCCCTCTCCCCCCTCCTTTCTTGAGCTCAGTGTCTCACCGAAGCCTCTAGAAATGAGATGGCATTTGTAACAGCATGTACACATACTGAGGATGGGTATCAAGAAAAATGCAATTTCTTCCAGCAGAGGGCTCAGTTTACCACATGCTTTCTTTGTCTTGCTGTCAGGCCATAGACTGGAGAGAGGGGTTGTATGTGTTTGCATAAAATAGAGATTTTTGACCGTGCTGTAAAGGGCAAAAACTGTTTTCTTGTCTTTATGTGTTCCTGTGTTAGTTAATTGTGTTTATACTACTACTTTCAAGTTTGAGGTTAGTAAGATTATTTTGTTTTTGAAAGAAGTCTTTTATACTCACCAAAGCTGCATATGATCAAAAATTTGAATAATTTTGTGAAATATTAGTCCGATTTAAAATAATTGTTTTCTATCTGAATATATATAATGTAATTTATTCCTGTAATGGCAAAGCTGATTTTTTTTAACAGCCATTACTCTAGTCTTCAGAGTTGCATGATTCTTCAGAAATGATTCTGTTCTGTTTGATATTTTTGTGTAAACCTACAAATACATTTTTTTCCAAGATTCTCTGATTAATAAAAGTTTTAAAAAAAACAGCATTTAGAATTTTGAAATAGTTTTTATGCAGGACTTTTTGTAAAAAATCTAAATGTTCCAATATTCCTCTACAGAACAGGTTTGGATTCATCACGTTTTTTCATGAAATTATATCATTATCAGCAGTTCCCCTTAAATTCTTTAACAAACATTTTATTCTAATTTATGCAGTGTGTTTAAGGGTTTGGGTTTATTATGAGGCTCTGAACCCACACTAAAACAATGATTGTAGGGGGTCAATTTACCGTTCACACTATAGCAAGGTCATTTCACATTTTTTAGGTAAACCAATCATTAACCATTACATTGTCGTTCTCTATTTCTATTCTGCTTCATTCTGTCTCTATTAAAAGCCCCTGGCATTCATATGTCATGAGTTCACTGGAAGCTGAGGCAAAGACATTACACATATGCTAATTGTTGGATGTGCATTTGTTTCCCTTTTTTATTCCTTTTTTGTATACATACCAGTTTAAATGTATACAACGTCATGCTAAACGTCAAAGATAATGCAGAATTCACATTGAAGTGCTGTTCTTTTGCATGATAAATTGATGCAGTTACTGTTATCTCTGACAGTACATGACATATGGGATCATGGTGGAGGTTCTCTGTGCTCTGAAGTGTCTCATTACAGTCTGCTATCCCGCCATGACTAGAATCAGAGACCATGATTAGGCGATTTATATCTGATACACTGTAGTATGAGATTTTAACATAACATAAAAAATTAATAATATAATAACTAATATCATATTTTTGTGGGGCAGATCATTAATGGTGTACATTTGCATCTGAATTGATTTTTACTACAGTAAGTTAACTGTGCTGTACAACCATTTAAATGTTTGTGTCAGTAAGATTGGGTCAGTACTTTTTTTCAGCAAGGATACGTTGATCAAAAGTGATTTTTTATTTATTAAAGAAACTTTCTTTTTGTCAAAGAAACTAAAAAAATGGACTGATATTAACAAGAAATGTTTCTTGAGCAACAAATCAGCATTTTAGAATGATTTCTGAAGGATCATGTGGCACTGAAGACTGGTGAAGACTGGTAATGATGCTGAAAAGCTTTGTCATCACAGCAATAAATTACATTTTAAAATACATTCAAATAGAAAACCGTTATTTTAAACTGTAATAATATTTCTCATTATTACTCTTCGAGGTATTCGCATTTCTGACCACTGGACAGGACTGTCCGCTTGCCTGTGAGCTCATCCTATTTCTTTTAACCGAGAGCGCTGAGTCATTCTCTATATCTCATGAGGCTTGCCTCATGATGTCTCCTTCCTCACACACACACATATACACACACTCACGCTCATTGTTATAGCAGTCTAGAGCGAAATTTGTCAGAGATGATGCATCGAATATGGAATGAGCCTTTGCACCGAACAAGCAAAATGTGTCTGCAACAATGTTTACCACCAGATTTGAACCTCCTCAAAAGGATTATTTAGGATTAGTCTCCCATCTAAAATGAAAAAGGAAAGCAAATATTTCATCCCCCCACTTTAGAGTCTATCTGCAGGGTTTTAAAGAGACAGTTAACCCCCAAAAAATGACAGTTTTGTCATCATTTTTATTGTTTTTTACGTAAAACACAAAAAGAGATGTTTAGCAGTATGTTCCTGCTGCTCTTTTCCATACAATGAAAATGAATGGACTGTCAAACTCGAAAAATGTAAAACTGGGTGTATTTTATTCAGCATCCTTTTTGATTTCTTTTAAAGCTGTCAGTCATGATGCTTTGCCCCTCCCCCACATGTCTGCCTTTAACAAAATCCATTCTCAATTCCTCAATTCCTCCACCAGTAGGCAGCACTATCACCACATTTAGTCCTCCTCTCCTCCATCCCTGCCTCCCCTCCCTTATCTGTCTCCTCCTTCTCCTATGGGTCATTCATGCACTGGTGTGAACCGGTGAGCGAGAGAGAAAGAGAGAGAGGGAAAACGACAGATACGGCACAAGCAGTAGAGAGGCTGTAGCAGTAGCGTTAGCAGAAAGCGATTCGCAGTCCTTCCCCTCACCCAGCCTAGCATGCAGGCCAGCACCATGGCAGCCGCAGATTCGACCAAGATGGACCTCCTCAAAAGGATTATTTAGGATTAGTCTCCCATCTAAAATGAAAAAGGAAAGCAAATATTTCATCCCCCCACTTTAGAGTCTATCTGCAGGGTTTTAAAAAGACAGTTAACCCCAAAAAAATGACAGTTTTGTCATAATTTTTTTTGTTTTTTACGTAAAAAAACACAAAAAGAGATGTTTAGCAGTATGTTCCTGCTGCTCTTTTCCATACAATGAAAATTAATGGACTGTCAAACTCGAAAAATGTAAAACTGGGTGTATTTTATTCAGCATCCTTTTTGATTTCTTTTAAAGCTGTCAGTCATGATGCTTTGCCCCTCCCCCACATGTCTGCCTTTAACAAAATCGATTCTCAATTCCTCAATTCCTCCACCAGTAGGCAGCACTATCACCACATTTAGTCCTCCTCTCCTCCATCCCTGCCTCCCCTCCCTTATCTGTCTCCTCCTTCTCCTATGGGTCATTCATGCACTGGTGTGAACCGGTGAGCGAGAGAGAAAGAGAGAGAGGGAAAACGACAGATACGGCACAAGCAGTAGAGAGGCTGTAGCAGTAGCGTTAGCAGAAAGCGATTCGCAGTCCTTCCCCTCACCCAGCCTAGCATGCAGGCCAGCACCATGGCAGCCGCAGATTCGACCAAGATGGAAGGTTTCTGGAGCAACTGGAAGTGCAAGGGTAGGAGGAAGGGGGTCCTGGGGTACAGGGGATGCAAGATGGGGGTGAATGTCGTGGGACGGAGAGGATGCATGTGCATGTCTGGGGTTGATGTTGATTTTTTTTTTTTTTTTTTTTTGAGGCTGCTGGATTTTTTAGGGGAGGTGCATGTGGGATTCTGGAAGATGCTCAGACACACGCCCGCATTTTTTTTTACATTTTTTTATTTTTTGCATCAAGGTCGCCGCCATCATGGGCATATGAGAGCCAGACTGGGGGGTTTGAGACCACTGGGCACACCCTTTCTCTCCTCCCTCTTCGTTGTAGTTAGGGGGTCCATCCTGAATTCATAGACTCTGGGTGTGTTTGATTAGAATTAATAGGCATTGATGTGCATGACTGCCTCATTTTCAGGTCAGATGCGCATTTGGATGCGGATAGTTCCATAAAGAGCTGTCGAATGCCTTTTCAAGTGTCTTCACGTTTGGCTTGCTTGTGTTGATCATAAAGGCCTTCAGGCTGCATTGGGAGCAGAAAGCGACAGAAGAAAAGACGAAAGAGAGATGTGTGGGGTGTGGCTACCTGACTCTACAGTCAGCTCATAGTGTTGTCTATGACAATTGTTTATTCTGTGAAAGAATGGATACATGTGCATGTGTGTTTATGTGTATAATCACAGTGAGTTTCATTTATTATCCACTGTAAGACAACTGTACATTCACCCTTTTAATAAATCCAATACCTATACTATCACATTAGAGTACAATGCCTAGATCACATTAGAGGGACTCGTGCAGGAGGAAGAAAACTAGAACGATTTAAGAGGGTGGGTTTCTGATAGTAGCTATTTATATATTGAGCATTTAACATCTGTGACAGTTCAAGGGCTTATAAACACAAATAGATCCACATCAATGAATGTTATGCTTCTTTATGTGAAAGTATTTAAATATTTATGGCATTTAGTCTTTGTTCCTTTCATGTTTAAGATTTCTGGGAACATTTTACAATATGGTTCAATTATTTAACACATTAGGTATCATTAACTAACAATGAACACATTTTTTACAGCATTTAGGGTAATGTTAATTTATAAATTAATTATTGTTCATTTTTAATTAATCTTCACTCATAAAGCATAAAATAATGTAAATTTATAGAATCTAAAATGTTAAATTGTATTAGTGTATGTACAAATAAACGTTAACCTGGATTAATAATGTATCATGTAAAGTATTTTTCATTGTTATCTTTCATTGTTATCTTAGTCAATGCTATCTATCTATCTATCTATCTATGATCTATTGATCTATCTATCCAGTGTCATAATTGTATTTTATCATTTAATTACTTATTGTCATTAATGCATACCTGAATTAAGATACTTTGAGGCTAGGATTCATTTGGGATTTATTGCCTCCTTTTAGTGAAGAAGACTAGTGTTAAAGTGCTCTGTTGGCACTGCAACACTAAGCCATTACAAAAATTAAAACAGAAATGAAGATGATAAAAACAAAGCTTTCTCAATTTTTAATGCCATAAATGCCAAATATGTTGTACTGTTTGATGAGGATGTGCCTGTGTCAGCACAGGGTTGTGTATTCTGTTGCTATTTCTTCCTTTAGTCATGCCTGTTAGGTCAGGTTTGCTAATATCTGTGTCCTCTATGTATTGATTCAATGCTATAAAGTCAAACCGCAGCAAAGGTGCTGGCTTTTCTTAAGTCAGCAGTTTCTGTTTCTCCTCACAGTCTTCTCTCAAGTGTGCGGTTTAGTCAAAACTGTGGCGTGAATCGCCACATTGGCCGTTACTGTCTTGATGGTCATTTGGTACCAGGCCAAAATGATCTCTGCCAGTTCTTCCATTAACTGTAAATCATAAAACAGATTTGTTCTTCTCACTCTGACAAATGTGTTAGTCAGTTATAGCGCCATTCTTAATATAATATAATAAAAACTGGGAACCGATTAGATAAGAATAGAACGATCCAACTTAAATCCCCAACTCATAAAAACCCTTTATTGCAGTTATTCTGTTCAGATAGTCTTATAGTTACAATGTATACCTACGCTGGAAATATTGAACCTAGAATTCAAGATGTGGTAAACACTAGTGGTTATTCAATAGAGGATAAGAGGCATTTGACAGCTAGGCTTAGCACAGTGTCATATGATCTTACTGATCCTGGATCCATATCATCTTTTAGATTGTGATCAGAGCAGGATGTTGCAGAACATCCTATTTAGCAGCCATTTTTGTTAGGTGTCACTACAACGACAGTGTTATGTAGGTCGAAGGTCTATTTTTGAGTATTCATCCCCTTTTAACCCAATTTGCTTAATGAAATTACAAGGCGCATCACATCAGTATGTGATAATTAAATTTGAGAAAGGTGTTTTCTATATTCACACCAAAAATACTGTCATGGCAAATCCCATAATAATATAGAACCTCATTGTAACTTACTTTCTGCTGTGTAACTCAAAAGAAGATATTTTGTAGAATGTTTCAACTGTTTTGGACCATATAATAAATGTCAGTTGACAATTGACTTTCATTGTATGGGGTCCAAAATGTCACTTTTTATAACACAAAAAGACATTTTTCAAAATGTCTTCAATTGTGTTCATTGGAAACAACATGAGAGCCAGTAAATGGTGACAGAATTTTCATTTTTATATGAACCAGTTCATATTATGCATATTTACATCCCAAATGACATGTACTTGTGGTCTTGTTGTCTTTGTTGCTTAGTGTCTATGTTTAAGTGCACAAGACCGAAAAGCGTCCCATTTGACATTTTAGGTTTTAAAAAGAGCTCAGGAGCGCCCCCCTTGTGCCCTTAATGTGTACTTTCTGATGCAGACTCTGCTGCGTAATAGTCTATGCAGGATTAGGTCAGCAAAGTGGATTCGGAGGGGGACTGTTTTGGGATAGGAAGGATTCTCAGCAGTTGCTCAAACAAGAATATATATTACATCCCTATATTTGCCTAATATTTCAAATCTAACTTGTGTTATAATTGTAAGAGTATACATGTATGCCCTATAGACTTATGCTGTCCCATATAGGGCAGTATGATGAACCAGTCTAGAGAGTGATTAAACACAGCCATTAATTACTGCTGACTTTTGGATCTCTTTCTATCTCATTGTGGCATCCATAATGTTTTCTTCACTGTTTTACCAGGCCCATTTTGTATGTTTATCTGGGGGCTGTTTGAGATGTCACGGCATGTGACACTTCTTTGAAAGAGCTTTTATTATTGCTAGCAGAGAAATGTCATTTGCCTTCTGTCTTTCTGGAGCTCCTTGTCCCATGCCAAGATTGTTGTCATCCAGATTAGTGTGTAGTGTGTAAGAATGTTAGTCATAGGCTGTCTGAAGTGATCTCTTTGTTTTAGGAGTATGATCCACTGATGTCAAGAGCAGGCTATGTGTCTAAAATGGAGCATGACCTTAAAAGAACTATACAATCTGCATTCAGGCTTGTAGTATATACACATATATTGTTTATGTTTATATAAATAAATTGTTTATGCCTTTCTGTAAGTATTCTTTACTGGTACGGTATGTATATTATACAGCATGCTCTGTTGTGTAGTGCTTAATAGGTTCTTCACAGCGATGCCATAGAAGAACCAATTTTGGTTCCAGAAAGAATCATTCAGAACGATCTCTTTCTGTGAAACAGAAAGGTTCTTCAGATGGTAAAGGTTTTTTATGGAACCATTTAAACAAAAAGGTTCTTCGTGAAGCACCTTTATTTTTAAGAGTGTATTTGTGAGAAGTTATACAACACTCTCAGAATAAAAGGTACAAAAGCTGTCACTGGGATGGTACCTATTCAATGGGGTCCATATTTGTACCTTAAAAGGTACGTATCAATACCTAAAGTGTACATATTAATACCTAAAAAGTACAAAAATTTACTTTTTGAGAAGGTACTGCCCCAGTGACAGCTCTCATACCTTTTTTCTGAGAGTGAAGTTAAGACTACATGGGTTTTATTTGAATCCCACATGAGATAGATTTAGATCACTGTCCTGCTACATCTCAAACTTAATTTTAGGGGATCATGGTGACATATTTCTCATGAAGTTCCTGTTTTTGTTTTCAGCCTAGTATTTGCAAGCATCCATCTTTTTTATTACCACACTGCAGAAAATAAAATGGTATTTCAAATCCATATTTTTGTTTTCCTATAACAATATTTCTATCATGACAACTCTTGGAGAGTTTAGCATGCTAATGTACATGACGATGTTAATGTGTTTGGTCTTAGCGGAATAGATCTGCTATGCTGCTGCTGCAGATCTATACAGGTGGAGCTGGGGAAGGTGGAGGGTTTCTGAAGTGCGCTACAACTGTTACAGCAAGCACTAGCCAAGTATTTGAATGTTGAGCAGCAAGCTCATTGGCTGCTGATACAAAAAGAACCAATCAGCTGCGCCATGTAATAATAATGTCATTTTGTCAGATGAGTTTGCCCTATCGGACTGTGCCATCTAGAGTTTAATGACAGAACTTTGGATTTATCCAAAATGTGTCTTTTTTTTTGTCAGTAAAATACCTTAAGATACATTTTCTTGAGAAGCAGAATTGAGTCAGATATTAAAATTTGTTTTAAACATCACAAAATTTACTTGTTTATTTTTAATTACTTATTTAACTTATTTCATTTATTTACCACACTACAAAATAATAATAATAAAGTAATTTTCATAATTAGTATTTTTGTCTTTTTACACTAAAAATATCTAAACATCCTTAAAACAACATGAATGTATATATTTTGTTTGATAATGTCTGTATTTTCAAGCTTTTTCCCAGCTTGAAAATACAGATTTAAGATTGAAAATATCTTAACATACTTAATAATTAAGTATTAATTATTAATTAATTATTATTATTATTAAATTATTTAATTAATTACCTTAATACTTAAAAAACTTAAACTTTAAATTTAAGATAAATTTACTTGAAAAGAAAAATTGGGTAAGATATTAAATTTATTTATTT